TAGCCTGCTTGGGTTGTGGCCATGGCTAGCAAGCTACTGCTTGCTAAGCTGTTCGTTAGGCCTGCCTAACACGGAACACTTTACAGCTCTATTACCTGTGTGCACATCTGTAGGTCAATCAGTGCCCTCCCACGCATGGGCCGCGTGGTAGATGCGCAGAACCAACTAAAAAGCCAGATCAGGGCACAGTAAGCGCGATCAGGGTTGCGTTCCCCTAACAAAGGCCGAACAGGGGGAGGAGCGTTGCTGCCAATCGTAGGTGCAGACTCAGGCACCAGTCACACATGTCCTTTACGACTTTATCACTTCGTGTTGTCTGAGTCCGCGTGGTCAGTTCCGGCTGCGCCGTCCACGTGCGCCCGATCCCGCTTACGGTCTTGACACCGAACGTAGATGGGTGAGTGGGAAGTGAGTGCGGTAGATGCAACGCAAGTCTACCCTCACTTAAAACTAATAAAGGCTGATGTCACCGTCCCTGCACCACCACGCTCCGAACCACACGGTGGGTATCGCCAAAATCAACGGCCGTATGTTAATCAATCAAGCTGTGGTTATTTTAACGTTAAACTTGTCCTGTTTGGTTGATTAACTCTCTGAATTGGATTCAGTTTTCGTCTTTCTTTCTGTTTAGTGTTGATTCCGCCGAGTTCGCTGCCCTTGAAACCATATCACGGAAGGAAACAAAGGAAGAGCTCATTTTTTCCAAATTTCGGGAAGTTATGAAGACGGAACCCGACCAGGTGTGTCTTCGCCTTCCTCATAACAACAACATGTTCAGAAGTCGATTTTTAGTCTGTGTACATTGGCACTCCTGCGAGTTTCATATCGTGCCAGCATTTTCTTTTTCCATCTGCTGCGAGATAAGAGAAATGAGTTTAAGTCTAGGGATTGTTCTTATAGCTCTAGGAATTTATCTGATTCGTAGCTAACTGCATCTCCGAATGTGTAGTCACTACTTTGTGCAGCGTTCACAACAACTTTGCAGCAATCAAAAGACAAAAATAATTGTGGCCTAAATAATGGCGGTAACCGGGTCACCTGGGCGGAATCGTGAACTGATTGAATTTCATTATTTCTTCGTCAGACGACTTCGACTACTTACTT